CTTATATTTGTTGATCTATACCATATTAACATAGATAGAACGAGTGATGAATATACATGTGAAAAATAATAGTGTGATGAACACATGTGTGATAAATAAACAAAAATTGACGAATAAATCACACAGACCAATCAAACTTAAGATTTTGCGGACAAATATCGCTTCAAACACGTATAAACTATACACTACATGATTGCATCACTCTGCTCCTGGTATACACTATGTGATTGCATCACTCTGCTCCTGGTATACACTGCGTGAAATTTTCAATATCACTCCATTCCTGGTATATACTTCGTGATATTACATATCACTACATTCCTGGTATATTGTATAAGTAATCTGGTATTTGTAAAATAATAAGTGTGTAAAAAACTTTGAAAAAATTCTGCAGAAAGGAAGTTAATTGTAAATAAATAAATAAAAATTATTTAATATAATAAGACTTTTCAATATTAATAAACTTGTAATCTATAACGATATAAATTTGTTTATTAATATTACAATAAGAATTTAATTTTATTTAATAAAGTAATTATTAGCTCAGTGCTAATAGGCTGACGAGTATATAAAGAATCTTGATGTTTTTGTGAAATTGTTGATAGAGTAGGAATAATTTTGTCTGCTTCTGAAAATTCATTTTTTATTTTAATTTGTTCTTCACTTAATTTTTGTTCCTCATTAAGAATCATTTCCCATTCTGAAAATTCATTTTTTATTTTAATTTGTTCTTCACTTAATTCTTGTTCCTCATTAAGAATCATCTCCCATTCTTGCAATTGTTCATAAACTTCTTTGGCAGTTGGCCGTTTCGTTGGATTATTATTCATGCACTGTTTTGCAAGTTTTATATAAACATCAGGTGTTCCTAAAGCAAATTCTGGTCGCAATTCATTGATTATTATATCCAATATAAAATTGGTCGTTTTATGTGATATATTTTCAAAAGGTTGCTTTTCAGTTGACATTTCTGACATAATTACACCTAAACTATAAATATCTGATTCCTTTGTAGGATTCCTACCTAATAATACTTCAGGTGCTGAATAAGATACTACTCCATATACTTCTCTATTTGCAGTAGATTCATTTATTTTTCTAGTTAGTTCTAAATCCGAAATTTTAGGTTCCACGTTTATTTTATTACCTACATATTGAGAAACTGCTGCAAATTTATCACCTATAGAATAAGGAATATTTACCATATCTCTGGTACTAATCATAAGTATATTTCCACTATTAAAGTCTCCATGGATATAATTTTGATGAATATAATCTAAATTATCAGAAATTGAACAAAGAATTTTTATTTTTTGCTTCCAGTCGAGACTTTTAAAATTTGATGCTAAATACTGGCAGAGATCTCCTTTATTAGCATATTCAAAAACCATTAGATATTCATTGTTGACAGGGTTATAAGTTACACCATATATTTCTATTCCATATTTATCTACGCTAAATATGTTAAGCTGACATTCATAATGTATTTTAAACTAATATAGTTAATTATTACCATTACTTATTTAAATACAGTATAAAATATAGTATAATTTATTTATTTTACCTCATTGAAAAAATCTGATGATATATTTAGAATTCCAGTTAAACTCTTAAGGGCCACATTGCATTGCACACGAGATAATAATACATCGTTATAATTTGCACCTAAATCATATGCCTGTTTACCATCGATCCAAGTTGCAGAATAAACTGTGCTAAAACCACCTTTACCAATTTGTTTGACATTTTTAATGGGGAAATTACATATCGGGGCCCAAATTTGAAAATAATTATGAATGAGGGCCTAACTTAAAAATATTTATTTATAAG